GTAGGTTGGGTGGAAGAAAAGGTTACTGACAACCTTATGAACAGTGGTGGATCACTGTTTGATCTAATGCTGGGAGATAAGCCCCTCAGGTTGGAAGGCATTCAAAATAAGACTGGGGAAGAGCTGCCTTTCAAAGTAGAATGACCATAAGGATGAACATAGAGGAAAGCTTTCAGGACCTTCATTTGCTGATGTGGCACAACTCGAAATGAGAAGTAACAGCTGTAAATATCCATTCATAAGTGGATCTTGAATGTAAAGTATGAATATAGGATAGTTGGAATTTGTCAAAAATGAAACAGAACACATAAAGACAACTATTATACAAATGCATATACTAAATCCAAAGGTGAATGAGATGTTAAAAGTTTTTACCAGTCTGAAATGGATCAAAGGCAATTAAGATAAATAAAAAATTACTAAAAAAAAATTACTAGTGACTGAAATACAAAAGTTGGAAACAAAGAAGGATCTGTGGTTTGAAAATATTGCCTTTGTAACAGACATGAGGCAGGAAGGGTCACATGATATAATTTTATAAAACCAATACTTTGTACATTGCAAAACCCTTTTCAACAACTTACATGGAAGAGAGCTATCTGGCCAATCAACTGTAAGAGATTCATATTTGTGCCCATTTCAAAAAAAGTGATCCAACAGAATGTAGACATTATCAAACACCATCAATATCACTTGAATAAAACTTTACTGAAAAAAACAAATATTGTTGCAGCAGTGCATCGGCAGTGAAATGCCAGAAACTCAAGCAGGATTCTGACAAGGGCCTGGAACAAGGGATATCATTACTGATGTCACATGGTTCTTGGCTGAAAACAGACAATACCAGGAAGATGTTCACCTGAGTTTTATTGGTTATATAAAGGTATTTGATTATGTGATTCATAACAAACTCTGAATAACTTTATGAAGAATGAGAACTCCAGGACACGTCCTTGTTTTCATGACAAGAAGCTTATATAATAGACTAAGAGGCAGTTGTTCAAACAGAACAAGAGGATATTGCATGGCCTAAAATCAAGGAAAGTATGTACTGGGGTTCTATCTTTTCACCATACTAATTCAATCTGCATGCTGAGCAAACAATCTGAGAAGTTAGACTTCATGAAGAACTTAGCACAGGACTGGCAGAAAACGCACTAACCACTTGTGATATGCATACGACATAATATTGTTTGCATCAGTCGAGAAACTAAGGGGCACCAAGGGTGGCAATGGGAAAGGAGGCTAAGTTACTAGCTAGCAAGAGGTTGGGAAAAAATGGTGGAGGCAGGGGAAGACACTGGGTGGAGAGTCAGAGTGAAATGCAACAGTACTATTATATGCACGCTCCTACAATAAGGATGATCTACAGTTAGATGCATGGACAGACATGCAGGGTGAATAGGCAAGGGAGAAGAATTTGACAGAGGATGTGTGTACATGGGTATTTACTTTTGTTGCAAACATATCTATGAATTGTGGTGCATTTATGAAAACCTTTTAGACATAACCAAACATACTGAGAGGATGAGTTAATGGACCCGGGGGCTCAGACCTTAAAGGGCACCAGAGTTGTGATATCACCTAGTTCACAAAACTGTATTCTAGGTACAGATGCAACAAGTGGGCTCTCCCTCTGGAATAATCAGGTGACAATGGGAGAACTCAGTAGCTGTACCTTTCCAGAGTGATGAAAACTGAAGACACATGGAAAAAATTAGTTCAATGGATTAATGGGCCACACAAATACTGGTCTCCATGACTATGAGACGAAAAGAACGAGATGGTACCCAGCTAACACTACCGATTGCTCTGAAAGGAATCACTTTAGAAAGTCCTGGACAGAGGAGAAAAATATAGAGAACAAAATGCAAAAAAAAAGATTTACTGATCAGATGGAGACGGGTGGCACCCCTGAGATTATGGCCCTTGGTTACTGTGGTAGTTACATAAATCCATGTCAACTTGATGAATAGGGTGTATGGGTGGAGCCTAGCCTGTCAATCAAGTCAGCCTGATGCTGCCTCCTGGTGGGCGTGGTCTTCTCATAAGGAGGGTCCTGGGAACCTCCCCTCTCTTTCTGCTTTCACCTTCCTGTTGACAAGCCATGTGGAGCCATGCTGAGACCTGTGGGAGCCCTGGAGATGCTTCCACCACTACTGGATCCACAAGACTTTGCATCCATTGGCCTGTGATCTTCCAGTATTTTTCATCATTGCATGTGCTGCATAAATATGAAGACAACTTTATGGACTAGTATTGGACTTGTGGGCAAAGATTGGACTTATGGACTTGATCTGAATGGGGTGGGATGTTTTCTTACAATACAGTTACTCTTTGATATAAATCTCTCTTATACATATATGAGTGCCATCTAGATATATTTCTCCAGTCAACCCACTCTAACAGAGTTATTCTTCAGGTCTGACAATGGACTCACTCCAATTGCTCCATTTTCAGCCCCAAAGTAGGTAGGTCTGGTAAGGGGAACAACAGCACCAGGGAAAGACATACATCTTAGAATCATCAACCATTTGAGGTCCAAAGGGCAGCACTTACCCAGAGTTCACATGGGTGAGGAAAGGAGGAGGAATAGGGAGGAAATAGGATAAGCAATTGTTATACCATAGTGATTACAATCATGAGATTAAACAAAATGTTTATAAACTGCCGAATGGAAAACTGACCTGTAAACCTTCACCCATTCACAATAGAAAGTTTTGGTTTTCTTTAATTAAATCAAAGGACATAATGCACTGGGCCAAATTTGTGCAAAAGTGTTAAAAAGCAAAGACAGAAGACTAAGGTGAGCCTTATCCAAGCTGTGGTATTTTCATTTACCTCATCTGTATGGGGAAGTTAGAAAATGAATAAGGAAGACAAAAACTGATGCCTTCAATTGTGGTGCTACTGTACAATATTGAGTACACTACAAACTTCTAGATGAAGGAACAAATCTGTCAAAAAGGAAGTACAGCTGAGACACTCATTAGAAGTGAGGTGGCATCGAAGTGAGATGTCAACCAAATCCACATGGAAGAAGTACACCATCATCAGTCGGCAAAGGATAGTAAATCATAAAATCTGAAGTGGAAGGAAGGATTAGTATCAGAGCCTATGTTGTTAGAATCTGGTTTGCAGAAGGCTATGGATGACAGTAGGAGCCCAAGATTCACTTGTGGGAACTACATAGGAAATAACCCTCTGATGAACTCCCTCTATCCACAATTGAGGGATGGGAAGAAAGTGGTTACTAACCAGAGTGCAATGGAGAGATGAGTATAGAAGATCAAAGGCATAAATGTGACTTGAGCAGTTAAAACGTTGTCAGTTGATACCCCTCTGATGCATACTGGACCTGATCTAATTTTCAACATTGTTTAGTTTTTGTTTGTTCGTATTAGAGTGTATCTCAGAGGTGTTATGTCACTGGAGGTTACCTTCATGAAGTTGTATTATGTTTTTATGTGTTTCGGTATATGAATTCCAGGATTGACAAATCCATAGGGACAGCAAGTAGAATAAGGGTTTTAGGGATGGGTGGTGGGTGGTACTGGTATTGGTGGGGTGGAGGTAAAAGGGAGACCACGTCAAGGAAAAAAATAATATTTGGAAACACATTGTGGTAGCAGTTGTACAATTTTGCTTGACATGATTGAACTATAGAATGATATATTAACTCCCAATTATAATTTTAAAAAAAGAAAGAAAAGAGTAAGGTGGCAAGACTGTGTCCACACTCTGATCCCGTAATGGGGAGTAGTTCCTGGAGAAGAGCATCGTGCTCGGTAGAGAGGGAATGGCAGAGAGGAAGCAGCTCAATGGTCCGGGCTGCCTGAGTGGCTCCACCAGCGTGAGGATGGTACAGGATCAGACAGTCTGGTTTTTTTGTGTGTAGGGTTACTTTGAGCTGGAATCAATTCAGTGGCAAACAACATGGGTTCTGTAGCAGGTAGTATTTTCAGTAAGAGTATTTTTCAGAAAGTCCATTAGTTCTCTTTATATTTCCCCGTTCATTTGAGAATTGATTAAAAGCAGCTTTTAAAAATTTCAAGGCCTCATTTTGATTTAATTTTTAATTTCCAGTTTATTGATTATAACTAGAGCACTGGCTGTGATATTTCTATTATGAAACCTACTTAAGCTGTATATGTGCCTCAATATATCAGTTTTGGGGAATGCTCTATGTATACTTAAAAAGAAGATAAAATCTCCAGTATCCAGTTATACAAATAGTGTTTGATCTCAATCTAAAAATTCACCCTATTTTATCTTGTTTATTTTTTAGACCCCTTATCTTACATTGAGCGGAATGTATTCAACGTCCTGTTAGCAACGTGTTTTCAATCTGTTTCGCCTGGCAGCTATAGTGATTTCTCCTTGACATAGGTGGTAGTTGTGTTACCTAGTGCATAGACATTCCTAACTGCTATATCTTTATAATGAAATATTACTTTTAGATTATAAAGCATCCTTTCTTCTCTCGTTTAATGTCCTTTTAAAAGAAATCCCATTTTTAAGGCAGTGCTTCTCAAAGTGGGTAGTACTGTCCCCTGGGGGGCACTGGAAGGATCCAAAGGTGGTGTAAAATCAGATTACCTACACTGTATTTTGGATTATGGGCTACAGGACAAAATTTTCATTGCTAGAGGGGTGCTGAATAATTTTTTCCCCCTCCCAAGAAGGTGATAAGACACATAAGTTTGGGAACCTATGTTTTAAGGCATCTGACATGTTCTGAGACAAACGTGTTCAGTATTCTACATTAAATTTGCATAAATATTTTTTGTAATTACTCTTAAAAAGATCAAATGTGGAAGGTAGATGTATAAAAGGCTCATAGGATTCCTCCTCCCGCCACCCCCTCACCCAGCACCCCAAAGGATTTCAATGCTATGCTTCTCCAGTGTGTCCAAGCTCTCATGTCTATGACAGTGAATATGTACAATGCTAAAATAATAAATAGCAATCAAATGTTAAGAGATCCAAACCCAAATTACCTTTTCGGCTTCCCGTGTATCATCAAAGAGTCTCCTCTGCCGTCTAGCCGGAATTGGTTTAGCTGTTTCCCAGGCCTCTACCCACATGTTGCTTGGAATCTTCATTCGGGCACTCAGTTCTCCTTTCAAAAGCACATTGCCCTTTTCATCAATCACCTCTTCTTCAATGTAATCTCGGGGTGAATACCACCTCACAAAATCTTCCAGGAAACAACCTGGATTTGCCGCCTAAAATGAAGCAATCATCATAATCAGCCGCAGCAAGCAAAACCAAATACAAATTAAGGTTACCAGTAAGCTATTATTTGTCAAGTCATACTTTGACAAGTACCTAGTATTTACAATTTGATACATAAACTCTAAGTAAAAACGTAGTGTTACTAAGTTTTCAATTCATACATGCACTGGTTTATCGCAAACAAGACATGTTTAAACACCACTCTTTGATCAGTGGATGGCTGTAGGCAAGCTCTCAAAATAATATACTTGTCTTAGTCTTGTCTTCTTACGATGCCTAAGAAAGGATACTTTTTATGCTACCGATTAAAACAATTTTGAGGTCAGGGCTAATACCACATTCGTAAAAAAACTTGCGGATATCTTACATCTTCCCCAAACCTTGAAGTTTGCGACAAATTTCCGAGAACGCTGGCCTGCATAAAGTAACAGCGTTTCTAGATGGGTCTAAGGAAGGTCAAGAAGACCTCAAAGAGGAGTCAAGAGAAACCTATAAAAACGTTGCGATGAATGAAGAAACCTGTGACTAAAGACTGGTGAAAGGAGACCAGAGAATTGCCAGCAATGTGATGGCTACTAAAGTTGGGATCTCACTTTGTTCAGCATTTTCAGATTGGCCTCAGCAAGCTTTCAGCTGGATTAGTGTCCAAGTGTTTTGTGAAGACCAGCTGCCTCAAAGGGTTGACCTTTCTACCAGTCTTTTACGACCCAAACTAGAAACCTTAGTTTCCCACATTCCACCCCGATCTTCCCCCATCAGACTTCTTTTTGTTGCCCAAACTCAAAGAACATTGAAAAAACAAACGCAAAAAACACCAACCAAGGTGAATCCCTCAAGGATAGCCAAACCACCATTTTGATAGGTGACTTTTAAGGGAAGGTATAGAAAGGTGGGAACACTGCCATTGTTGCTGTTGGTAGATGACATCATGTCGGTTCTGACTCACAGAGATTCTGAAACCAGGCCACATCTCTGGCAGCGCCCTGTCAATGTACTGCATGTGATACTGATCATACTGCTGTACAATTTGAACATTCTATTGAGTCACCTTTCTTTGGAATAAGTATAAACATGGATCAGCCAGGTAGCTGTCTTCCAAATTTCTTGGCATAGGTGAGTGAGTACTTCAGCTTGCTGAAACATTTAAATTAGTATTCCTCAATTCTTGGAGCTTGTTTTTGGCTTATGTCTTCAGTGCAGCTTGGACTTCTTCCTTCAGTACCACTGGTTCTTGATTATATGCTACTTCTTGAATGTCGACTAGTTCTTCTTGGTTCAGGACTCTGTATATTATTTTCCATCTTCACTTGATATTTGTTGCATCCTTTAATATTTTGCCCATAGAACCTTTCAATATTGCAACTCAAAGCTTGAATGTTTTCTTTATTTCTTTTAGCTTAAGTATCAAACTCAAGTAAATTAAATAATACAAAACATGATCAGAATAACACAATAATGGAAAGATGCTCTTCTGCTTTTTAACTCAATAAATCAATACTAATTCTGCAGTAAATATTGGCTAACCTCAAAAAATATTCTATTTAACCATCCAATTCTTACACTTTATATAACAAATTACCATCAATCAAACAGTTATTATGCTCTTAATGAAATGGAATTCAAAATAACTAGAAAAAAGTTTTATTTAGTAGCTAATTTAATACAATTAACAATGATGCATTCTAAAATCTTTAAAGTAAACGTAATGTTAAGTGTGTGTGGGGGGGGGGGAAGAAGCTTCATAGTGTTGGTGGTAAGGCATGGAGGTATCTTTTGCAAAAGTGTCCAGTAATATTATTAGCAAAATTGACTTGATGAAAACTAACAACAAAATATTAAAGGGCTAACAATCTATTAGTTAATTAAAGGACATATATACATTTTTGGCTATAGTCCTTATCATGCAATCACACCATATTCTTCTTGCTTACGAGTATTATATTTTAATTGCCTGTGACAGTAAGTGATGTAAGCAGTAACAAACCCAGGATAAGTCACCAATTTCTCCTCAGTGGGTTCCCTGGCTACATGTTATCATCCACACCAGTGTACAAATCCATGTGAGGGGACCAGGCACTCTTCTAAGGCCTCTAATGCCAACTCAGCTCTACACAAAAGGAAACAGCAACCATGCGTGATTCAGAGCAACTCCATAATACAATCTAATTCCCATGGAGGGCAGATGTGTAAATAAGCCATGTGAAATACAATCTATATTTTTATTGCTACTTTCAATCAATTCTTTGCATTCGCATGCTATAAAACACTGGCAGGGTCTAGAAACTTCCCACAAGCGAAAAGAATGCACAGCTACAGGCATGGGTATTCTGACTTTACTTGGTAGTTATATTTCTCATGGCAAATTTAAAAAATGTTATGTTGGTTCGTATTTTCCAAAGATGGTCACCACAAATGTTGCTCATCCTAAATGCCCTTCCACAACATGATTTTGTAGCTTTGGCAAGATTCAAGTGACAGTCTTTTTAGTTCCTGTTTATTTCTCTCATCTCTATTAAAATGAAAAGAGTTTAGAAAACCTCATAATGGCTACATGCTTTTGCTATACAGATCCAGACAATGTGTGAATTTGATTCTGTAGTGAGACAAACGTCTGGTGGGTTCATGATGACGATGACCGACAGATTATAGCAAATGGGATGCAATGCGCTTTCTAAGGATGGGTCATAGAAAGGGATGCAGCCTTGTTGGCTAGATCTTAAGAACTTCGGTAACCCTGAAGAAAAGACCGGCCATATCATGTTGTGAAGACACCACGCTACAAAAAGGTCATGTGTAAATGCTCTGGTCTTTGAGCCATCCAAACCCAGGCATCAGAATATGCCTTCAGACTATTCCAGCCTTGTCTTCCAGGTTTCCAGTGGAGGACCCAAGTATCATGGAGCACAGACAAGTTATCCCCATTGTGCCCTTATAAAATAGCTGTTTTAACTTGCATTAAAAAGAAAGTAAGAAAGAAATACAATCCATTTTCTGATGAGATTTGTGTTGAAGTCAGCCCCAAAGAGTCTACTAAACCACAGTTTTGCTTTTAAGCATAGTGCTAAAGGAATTACATAGAACCTTACAGAGAGGCAAATGTGTTTCTACAGCCAAACTTTGGAAGCTGCAGTTTTGAACTTCCTTGCACATGCCTCTGGAAGGACAAGGCAGCAAGAAAAATCCAGACAAACAAGTAAGCAGCTAGAGGTCAGGTAAAGAACAGATGCTGTACAGGCTAGGACATCCTGTTGTGCACACACCTTTGCCAATTCCCTTCTCTGGTTTTTTTGGCGAAAAAAAATGTGCTGAAAGAGTCAATAGGCTTTTTTTTATTCACTGCTGTTTTCTTTTTTTTTTTTAACAAAAAAATTGTCTACTACAGAATTCATACATTTTTCACACTTTTTATTCTCTAAGGAAAACATGCAGCTCTTGGGAAGTTTTCTACAGATGTTCCCTTTTAATAGAGATGTAGGTAATAAACAGGAAACAAAAGCCACCCTTTTGTTGTCACTTAAATCTGTGAGTAGGGAGGAAAACAAGGGGCTTGTTTGGTTTTTTTTAATGCATTTTTTACTTTTCAGAAGAAAATCAAACTCACACTGGCCAAAGAGCTCAGAAGCAGGTCTGAGTAGGGGTCTGGATTAGGGAGATGGGGTGACAGGGGAAGCCTGGGCCAGGAAACAGGTCAGGGAATCAGCAGTGGCAACCAAAAAGGCCTGTGGCCCACTGGGCTACCCATTTTCTTTTTCTTTTTTCCAATATACACAATGTTTGACTCTGCTTTCAAGAATAAGTAATAATAAGAAGAAGAATAAATAATTCAAATACAAAGTCCTTTCTTCTTCCTTCACTTCTTTTTTTTTCCTTTCTTCCCTTCATTTCTGGAAAGAAGCCAAATGTCATCAGTTCTTGAATCCTTCATATTTTAGTTACAGGTCTACCTTTAAGCCTAGAACATTCTTTAGGTAGCAAAAGTCTACTCTTCTTAAATGATGAGTCTTCTGAGAAAGCGTCTCTGACCCCCTCAGCAAGCCAAATCACTTTCCTCGATAAACTACTCATTTGAACTCATCACATAATCATTTACCCATCTCCTTCTCACAACCTCACCCAGAGGGTAAACAACTCTATTTCCTACTCATTTAACCACAACGTGAAGCACACAGTAGGCCTCAAAGATTTGCAGTATGAAGCCACCTGCACTGCCTCTTAGAGATTTTTCTAAAACTTGTGTATTAAATTGCTGAATAATACCTCAACCCCAAACAGCGATTCCATTCTCAACTTTCAACTATTATTCAAAGATGGTTGCTTGGATTTTTCCTTCTTAAAAATTTAGAAACAAGTTTGATGGGGTCCTTTGGGGAGGAGGGAAAGGTGTTGTAATTACTAATGAAATCCAAACACTTCACAGAAAACAACACCCAGGCCTTTTTATCACTTTGTTGAGTGACTTTCACAGTTCCATCCAGAATAGCTCAAAATAGACCACAGTGTCCCGAAAGCGTGACCCACCTTAAAAGATTCCATATCGGAGAGCAAGCAGGCGCTCTGCATGCGTGCTCGGAGGTGAGCCCCCTCTGCCGATGTGCCTAATTTAGCTAAAACCTCAGACTGCTCTTCCAGCAGATCTTCCGTCATAGGTGCCGGTTCCTGTAAAGCACAAAAGGACAAAGCTCACGAACAACCCTTTTATAGACAAAGCAGAATGACAAATATAGAATGGAGACAATTAGAGCAGCTCCAGCAGTCACAAGATATGTATTTAAAAGAATTCTGAAAGATGGGAGCTTTTGAGACCCTACATTAAAAAGCTACAAATCAAGAATAAATAGGACTTGTCAGCTGCCTTAGACGTGATTCCTGTTTCCCGAGGACTGATGGGTGAACAACTGGAGGATTGGGGTCAACTGAACAGTATTGTTTTGCCTGCTAGTAATCAAGAAATGAAGACCTACTGAAACCACCATGCATATCATCTAGGTGTGGCTAGATTTTTATTACCACTAACAAGAAAGGAAACTAGAAATATATGTAGATCAAGTAAATGCAAATTAATTGAACCCCAATCAAAACCCCTCAGATAAGTGAGTTTTATGTCAGAGGATTTGTTCTGAGTTTAGCTTCCTAAGGCATTCTAGTTAGTTATTTCCATTATAAGCTGAGGGTTTTCTCATTTTAGGCTTAGAGATGGTATATATTTTTAAAGCAGATAAAGCAAATCTAAAGAAAGATACAGTGCAAGATCACTAAAGAGGTGATTCCAGGATTGTTAAAGTTGCTTAGGGAAATTCTCTGGATACTGGCTTCATAATTGAAATATGAAAAACTCAAAAGTCCAGAGGCTAGCCAAAGCACACATACTTGCTGTTAAAACAACAACAACAAAAAAATCTCAGATATGAATAAGGGTAAGACCTAATGAAAGAAGTAGGTTAATGGTCTAGAGCACTTTAAAAATAGATTCCTTCGAAGTTCCAGAGGCTTACTCAAAATTCAGTGTCCCCACCCCCTGTTGTTGTTAAGAATCTACATAGCAGATCATACACCAACTCAACAATTTCTACAGTACAAGTCTACTAACACTTCTGCTGGATAATCCTTCCTGTGCTGTGCAGAATGGTGAGTAGCATCTCTGGGCCATTCCTTCTATAGTACCACTCCCTCCTCTTGACAACCAAAAATGTTTCCAGGTATGGTTAAATATCCCCTGCAGGGCAAACTTACACTCAAATAAGGCCGCTACCTTAAAGGTAAGTAATTTTAAACAAATACCTGTCAGAAATAAAATAAAAGTGTGATAAGGCTATGGCATTCAAAACCAAGAATTTGAACCAGTTCAAAACGGTTCAGTCATGGCCATGCGACTATGGGTTACACAGCAACAATTCTCTTAGGCATGGTGACCTGAGTAGGAAACAGGCAGTGGAGCCCATGCCAAGATGGCAGTGGACACACATTCAAATCACTGTGGTTAGTTGTGATGTTGGAGTGAGGCATAGTTTCCTGTTTCCTACTCTGGTCAAAATGCCAGGAGCAAGAGATCTGGTTGCTGTGCAATGTATAGGCTTCATTGATCATGATTGAAAATTTACAACTGGTTCCAAGTCCTGTTCAAAACACACAGCAACAAACAAAAGGATAGCATTTCTTTCTATTGTATCATTCTTATGTTTGAAGCAAACACATTTAAACTGCCCAAAGGAATACAAAGTATAATAAGCTTGCCTGGACAAGAGTCTGGCAGACAATCTGTTAGGCATATATTGATTCAATAATTCCATTTCTACAACATCACTGCAGCATTAGTTATAACATGACAATTAGGAAGAATCCAAATGTTCAACAATGTGGGGAAGGTCAGACTGCTCTCTGACCCACCACAGGGGTGGCCCTGCTCCCTGCTGCTAAACACAATGGATTACTTCTCCCTAATGCTTACAACCATTAGCTTGGTTCCTGAAGGTGGGGTTTACACCCTATTGCTAATGGTTCCTATGGAGATCCAGCAGCCATCCTAGGATCCGCCCATCTTGTCACATGTATACCCCCAATCCCTCCTCTTCCTATTGCGTGTATGTCCCTAGACCACCCCCTCATTGCTGTATAACCTATAGTGCAACCCCTTCCTGTGATGTATGTCTTTACCTGTAATTAGTGGGCTTGCACGCCCCCAAAAGGTATGTAGGCCTGGGTTAGCAATAGACCTCTCTCTCCCTAGCTCTCTCTTCCCCCTCTCCTCTCCCCCTTGTTCCCTTTCCTGTCCTCCTTCCCTTCCCCCTCTCTCCACGTAGATCACCAAGCGGGGCTGAGATGAGCAATGTTACCATGTAATGTGTCTGACTGCATTATTGTAATATCTCTTCTATCGCTCATGCTCTCGATGACTTCAATATAATACTTACATATCTCAACCATACAATTGTGCTTACTGAACCCGTGGGTAGTGGTGGGGGGCTGGCCCCCCCATCCTAATACTACTCAACCATAGGAAAATGGTTTAGTATATTAAAAAATGTGAGAACTGCTCTAAAATTGCTTTATCACCAGGTTATGAAACCAGGAGTTTTCCTTTTTCTCTACAATAAACATATGTAAGTTCTAATTGCTCAACAAGTGAAAAGTATCAAACCAAAAAAAATCAGTAAGACAGTATAATCTACTATTTAAAAGCTTGGACTCTAGAGAAAATATGACTGCATTTGAACCCCAGTTTTGTGACCTTGGACAATTATTTTTCAACCTTTCTCTATTTTCCTCAAATGTAAATGGGTATAATAATACAGGGAATTCCTATCCAAAATCATCCAGTAGACATGGTAGAACGTTCCTTAGGGTTCCTGAGACTGTAAATCTTTACAGGAGCAGACAGATTCAACTTTCTCCCCCAAATGGCTGGTGGATCTGAACTGCCCATCCCCCACCCCCCAATGGTTAGCTGCCCTATGCCTAATCCACCGGGCCAACAGAACTCATAGACTTCATAGGACTGTAAAAGAGATTTCCTGGCACATTTTCAATAAACACTATCAATTAAAGACCAATGACTTAAATTGTATTTGTATGTTTAAAATCAGGGAGGTGTGCAACAGTGTTGTATTCTTTCACCACACTTATCCAATCTATACACTGAGCAAACCATCCGAGAGTAGGGACGCTGTGAAGGAAGTATCATGATTGGAGGAAGGCTCTTTAACAAGGTATAATATGCAGGTGACACCGCCTTTCTTGCTTTCAGCTAATGACAACTTGAAGCATTGATTGATGAAGCTCAAAGACTGTTGCAGTAGACCGCAACTCGATATAAAAGAAACAAAAATCCGCATGACCAGACCAATAGATAGAGAAAGGACTGAAGTTGTTTACAATTTAATCTTGCTTGGATTCAAAATCAAGGCTCATGGGAGCAGCAGTCAAGAAATCAAAGGTGTTACTCTGGGCAAATCTATACTCAAGATCTCTTTAAAGTGTTATAAAACAAAGATGTCACTTTGATGACACTCAGGTATACCTGACCCAAGCTAGGGTATTTTAGTCATCTCATAAGCATGTGAGAGTTAGACCACACACAAGGAAGGCTGAAGAACACTGATGCATTTGAACTGTGGTTCTGGCAAAGAATACTGAGCCTATCATGGACTGCCAGAAGAACATCTTAGGCTAAGAACAACACCCCCCTCATTGCCTCTGTGTCTAAGCATCAACTCATGACCCAATCCTCATACTACTCTGACCTGCAGCTGCTTGCTTTCATGCTTCCAGGTATGTGCTACAATGTGGTCTCTTTTCTAAATTGTTGTTTTATTTAAAATGTCAGTTTCCCTTATTCATGTTGTTTTTGACACAACAATCTTGTGCCATACAAAGGATGCTTAAAATGCTGCACTGGCAAAATGTTATTATGTGATATGTGACATAGCTTCTATCACCATGGCTATGATTTTGCCAGCCACTAATCCATGGACGTGAGCATAGAATATGCCTTTCTGAAGAGCAATTTGTTGACTTGAATATTGGTTTACCTATCAATTCCATGCTTCATTATCTTTTTTAAGAGCCACACACATATATGAATGCATAATGCATAAAATATTATTATGGCACTGTTCACAGCAAAAACTTACAAATAACATAGACTGGGCATAACAGAAGGATGCCTAAATAAGTTGTGAATCGTTTATAACATGGAATATTATACAAAAATTTAAAAATATATGAAATGGATCCAGGAGTAATGACAAGGAAAGATATTATAGACATATTGCTTAAAAGTAATACACAAAGAAAATGTTTTGAAAATGACAATGGCAACATATGTACAGATGTGCTCGACACAATGGATGTTTGTATGGACTGTGAAGAGAGCTGTGTAAGAGTCCCCAATAAAGTGATTTCTAAAAGAAAAAGAAAACACCCAAGCCTAGTGACATTAATAAAACTGCACAAAAAAAGAATCCACCAACACATGTGTTTTAAAAATTCCATAAAACTATATATCTGTATGCATATGTAACACTGGACACACACACACATAAAATACACATCAGTGTATAGATTTAGGTACAAAATTTATCCCACATTGAAAAAAGTGTTTACTTCTAGAGATGAATGTTGGAGCTTTATGTTTTTCTAGAATGACTTTTTTCATAATAAAACATATTCAGATTTTACTTATAAAAAAAATTTCTGATCTTAGGTGCTATTGCTATTTTACTAATGGTGTAAAATGGCTTCAAATTATATTTTTGAACAGAAAAAAAGAACATACAATGGAAGGGTTTTTGGCTTTAGGTTCATATTTTTGGATTTTGCTTCTTAAGTATCTGTGTATTCACCACTGAGCTCATAAAGTAACCAATCACCTTTACATGAGGAGTAATTATCTACTTAACTTCAAAATATTCCTCAATTTCAGACACAGTATACCTAAAAGTCATAATGTTTATTGAGATTTCAAACCTTGACTCTTTAGACACACGCTTTTAAGGTATTGCTCTTATTCACACTAATCATCTCCTACTAAAAGGAAGGTTTATAAACAACAATATAAAAAATTTGAGTGTTCGAAAGGCACTTCACACCTACCTGGGTTACAGGAACATAGAGTGGTTCTCCATTTTGTAGCAGAGTGAGGTTCCCATGCTGAAAAAGACGCCCCTCTGGTTTTAAATTTGCCATCTCCTTGGGACCTCCTTTCTTGCCACTTTCTGGTCCATTTCCCTTAAGTTCTTCAGTGTCACTTAGGCATTCAAAAAATTCTTCTTCACTGTCACTCCAGGAATCCCAAGATTTTCCAACCTCTCCCTTTTCTTTATCCGTATCTTTCAGGTGATCTGATCCAAACTGGTCTCCAGCTTTTCCAGCATTCCCAGGATATATACTAGTTACATTCTCTGAAGGACTCGTCTTTTTCCCCTCATCACGTGCCTTCTTTCTCTCAATGCAACAATTTAACATCTTAACAAAAAGAAAGAATGTATTTCAATAAGCAACCATTAAAAAAAATCTACACATGCTTTGGCTATTTAATGTTATTCCCAGTCCCTTCTCACTTCTGGTTTTGAACGATAGTAACGATCAGTAACCTACAGCAGTACAATGAGAACAGAGTATGATCTATTATTACATTTACTACTGTAAAAACCCAAATTAAGATAAAGATAATATTTATATGCAAGCATTAAGAAATCCTACCTGTAGTTTCTGATGCAATAAACAACACCGTAGATCTGGGGCACCACTTGCTAGTCTATCAAATAAAGGAGTAGGAAAAGAAATCTTAGTTTTGATAAAATTACTTTGTATGTGCATATTTTTCAAATTACCTTAAGTTCCAGCTATACTGATGAGAAATAAAACCTAGATTAATATAAGTAAGGCAATGAAGTTCCGAAAAAGTTACACTAAAAAAGAGTCATATACTGTACTCACATTTCTTTTGTCCTCCCTTATCCACAAACTACAAAAAACATTAAGAGACTCCTCAAGACTTAAAGACAAACTAAGGATGACTTTTTATCTAGACAAACTACTGTTAATAAATAGCTGCATTTCTTTTTAATCTATTTTTCTATACATATGCAATATTATATTGCATAACACTACTATAAAATATCACGAACATTTTCTTGCTATTAAAGATTCTTGGGAAAAGATGACTCATAGCTCCATAATCTACTTTAGAATTTAAACCATTATTTAATTTTTCTTTTACTATTTCCCCCATTATAAATTAGCTGCCAAAAAGAGCCTTGGTGGTATAGTGGGTTATGTGCTGCCTGGGCTGTTAACTGCAAGACAGCAGTTCCAAACCGCCAGGTCTTCCCGGGAAGATGAGGGTTTCTGCTCCCATAACAATTCAGTCTCAGAAACTCACAGGGGAAAGTTATACAGTGAACCCTCGCCACTTCGCGCTTTGACTTCCGCGGCTTCACTCTATCGCGGTTTTTGCGTAACAGCACATGCTCTGTCATTACTGCCACTGATTGGCTCACACTGTACACGCTTCTGTCTGCATCGCTACGTATCGGAGCTACGTATCAGATGCATTTTTGCTTTTGTACAGTGTACTCTAATTGTTTGCGATTTTTAAGAAATTTTATCTAAGCCCTATGATGGCTCCTAAACGAGCTGCTTCTTCTAAGCCTTCTGACAATAAAAATAAGTGCCAGAGGAAGATGCTCACCATCCAGGAAAAGGTAAAACTTTTGGATATGATCAAAGATGGCAAGAAAATCGTGGAGGTTGCACGCCATTTCGACTTGAATGAGTCTTCTGTTCCCTCCATCTGTTGTACTTCATAATATAATAAATAATAAATGATAATTGTAACATCCAAAATGTTTTACTGCATTTTCCCTTTTTCGTTTAATAAATTGGGTAATACGAGTGTAATGGTGACTAAAGGGTGTTTTTTCATGTCCTCTATGCTCTAACTATGAAAATATTTGATTTACAAATAAGGAATCCTACTTCGTGGAATTTCATTTATCACGGTAGGGTCTAGAACCGATTAACCGCGATAAATAAGGGTTCACTGTACTCTGCCTACAGGGTGTCTATGAGTTGGAATCCACTGTAGAGTTCAGGAGAAATTAGCTGCAGTGAATGCCTCTACCTATAAATCATCTACACATTTCTTAACACATTTCCTAGAAGGGGTGAATTAAAGGGCCAAAGATCAACACCTACTAACAAACAACACACTGTATAAGGGAAATGGATATTGAAATTATTACCCTGGAATCAGAAAGTTGTTTTCCCATCTGAAACGCATTTCAAGAACAAATTCCTGCCAGAGGTGTGCTACTCCTTTAAGTCCTCCATGGTAGAAATTGATCATACAGAGGCACAAAGCCAATTTGTATGTTAAACTGTCAGATGGCGCAGATTTGAACTGATTGAAGAGATTCTAAATTGAACCAAAAAGAACAAAACAAAATTTGTTAACAGCATATTTACATACATGATCACAAAGTGCTTGTGGAGCAATAGGACTCCTAAAATTCACCTACTAAGACCAGCTTTTAACAAATGTCTAATACATTATTAACTAAATTGTTCTGAAACAGTATCCATGATCTCAACTAAGAAAAAAAAAGATTTCAAGTTTCTTTTGTGGAATTCCTAAGATTAAACCAGTTTTTTCACGTGTTGTTTGAAAACCCTTTTAGTTACAAAAGGAGTACTGCCTTGTTGTAAAAGAAACAAACAACTCCCTGCCCCACAAACCTAAACAAGATCAGACCACTATAAACGAAAAACATAAAAGCCTGATTTCTCCTCTCACGCCATGTGCTTAATTTTACACCAGTAAAACTATCAACAACTTGGCATATCTCTACATGTTAACTGAAGTCTCTCATTTCTCCACTTCCCCATTTCTCCAAAGACCTGGATGAGAGAACGTGCAATTTCACAAGATTCAAAAATAAGGAAAATCCTCTAACAATTCAGTTATTTTCATTGTTTCCAGAAAAATTCTTGCTAATCAGATATCTATGCCAAGGTCACATGAAGGGCAGAAGTAACCTCTGTTCAGTGATAAAGTTACTCATGTGTGGTAGTTACATAATCTAGTATCAACTTTCGGGTATTAAGAGTAAAGGACTGACCCTTAGCCCTATGAGGGACAACACTGGAGGCACAGAGCGGGAACTGTGTCCCATCTGACCCCACCCCACCAGGACGAAACACTAAAGGCATGCAGCAGAACAGCAAGAAGAGCAAAGCAATGAAGTCCCCATGGAATACCAAAAATAGACTCTGGTACCAGGGCATGGCACCCCATCAGACTCCACTGGAAAACACTCCTAAAGGTGAACAAATAGACCTGGAACTATTTATAGGCTTTTCTTTTGGGGGGTGATGGTTTTTAATTTGTTTTCTTTTGTTGTGTTGATTTGCTCTGTCTTGTTTTTGTGTTTATTATTGTCTCTGCATGTCTATCTAGGTAAGATAGGCAGGATAAGCAATCCAGAAGAAAATACATCGAACCGATGGTTCCGGGGGACCTGGAATAGGGGCAGGCGGGGGAAAGGAAGTGGGTGTTAACAAACCCTGGGACAAGGGAACAACAAATGATCTAAAATTGATGGTGAGGAGGGCATAGGATGCCTGGTAGGGTTTGATCAAAGGCAATGTAACCAAGAGGAATTACTGAAACCCGAATGAAGGCTGTACATGATAGCGGGACAAGAGGAAAGTAAAAGGAAATAAAGGAAACAACCAGGAGGCAAAGGGCATTTATAGAGGTCTAAATATAGGCATTTACATATGTAAATATGTTCATATAGAACGATAAAGAAATAAATCTATGTACGTATAGTCATAGGTTGAGTATTAAGATAGCAGATGAACATTGGACCTCTCCTCAAGTACTCCCTCAACACAATTATACTTTGGTCTAATACCCTGGCATTCTGTGATGCTCACCTTTCCGACACAATCGCCAAGACAAAATGAGTGCATAAGCAAATATGGTGAAGAAAGCTGATGTGCCCGGCTATCAAAAGATATAGTGTCTGGGGTCTTAAAGGCTTAAAGATAAACAAGCAGCCATCTAGCTCAGAAGCAACAAACACCACATGGAAGAAGCACACCAGC